TCTAAAAACAGGGTAGAAGTTACCCCTTTGTAAGGGAAATTTACATCTGTAAAAGAAATCTCCACTTTGTGCCAGGAAGAGAAGGATTACTCTAAATCACAAAAGACTCCTATCAATGGAGAAGACACCTTAAATCTGCATAACAAATCTTTCTCTAGTTTTCCACACTTTTCCTGGTCACCTTCTTAACTGGCCTTTCCACATGCTTCTTTCTTTGTTTTTAGCTGGAAATGATTTTTAAGTCTGAATTTCCAGTCCCCTTTGAAGACTCACTTATTTCCCTGGGTATCTCCAGGTGTGTTTATATATAAACCTATACACACACACATACAAATAAACTTCGGTTTCTTTTTCTCCTACTAGTCTGTTTTTTGTTACAAGGGCCCCAGCTAAGAAGTCAGACACGTATAGGAAAGATTATTTTTTCCTCCCCTATACATGCAAGTACACCAGGATGTCCTGGCAGAGCCAATCCCTAACAGACCCAAGAATTGTCAGAGGCTTTAGTGCCCAAGCGAGAAACACCTCCATCAGCTGAACCAATTACAGTTCCATGAATGGAAGGTTGGAGATGCTATGTAGCCACCACAAGCTTCCTGATGCCACGGGTGAAAGGCCAAAAAAAAATTAAAAAATGCTATTTAGGATTTAATTAGGTAATCAGTGACAAAAATATATAAATAACAGTAGCCTTGTATAGCAGGCAATAATCAGTGATAAAATTTAGTGGGAAAAAGATCGCTTTCACAGTAACAACCAAAAATACAAATTCTTGAAAGTGGAAAATAAAGAAATAAAGTCCTGTGTGGAGAGAGAAAGAGTAAATGTTACTGAAGAACCTAATAAAATGTTTGAATAATTGGAAGGATATATATGATTGTTTACAGAAAGAGTTCATATTTTTGATTGTAATTTTCACTCCAAATTATTCAATAAGAGAATTTGATAAGACAATTTTAATTTCTATTTAGAAAAATAAAGGAGCAGGAATTACAATTTAAAAAGTTTGGAAAAGCAGGGGATATGCCGTTTGCACGGGAGTGTGCAGAGGTGAGGGGACCACCGCACACTGTGCACCCCCCTGCTGGAGGGTCCGAAGGGAGGAAATAAAAATGGGCTAAGTTAACATAATAATGGGCTGAAATGGAGAATCGTTCTTGCTGGTTTCCTGAATTGCAAAAATGTTTTTGAAATTCTTCTCAAAGTTGTTCTCTACTTGAAGTCCCAGTTTGATGAATTTATTTTCCTGAAAAAGCAAAGAAACAAACAATTATAGCCATTGTTCAATGAGCTTAGACTTCCAATATTTCACCTAATCTGGGGCTTCATTTTAGGCTATTCCAAACGTTAAGTGGGAATTAATCCAGTTAAGAGGAGCTTACGTTCTCTGAAAATTTGATTATTTCTGTTCATCGGGAAGACAGAGAAGCAAAATAATTGCAATATAATTCCTAATCAGAAACTTCTTGATTGATTTAATTTTTAAAAATTCTAGTTCTGTTATTTTTTAATGTAGCACTTTTTTTGGTAGCAATATAACCGTACAGAGATGTCTAGGGAAAATTAATGGTCCCCTCCTTTTTCCTCTAGTCTCACCCCTTGAGGTAATCTTTGTCAACTTTTTGATAGAGCACTTAGAAATTCAGATGTAAAGAAATTCAAGATTTTGAAATTTGAGAAATTTCATTTGGTATCTTCATTAGAGAAGAGAAATATTAGTTTAAAATGCACTTCTATTTTCTGTAGAAATGAGTAAGCCTGCAGCCTACTGCTCTCTGGGGGCAAAAATCAAATACCTGCAAGTGAATAAACTCTGAAGTCCTAGGGTCATGTTTGCAATGACGCTGTGAAAATAAGTAATTTAAAATATAAGCTGCTGAAACTTTGAAATATTTCGAGCCTTCAGAGAATGTGATTATGGGACCTGAGTCACATACACAGGCAGCTGGAACCTTTCTCTCTCTGGTTATAGATCGGCCTTCTTACGTACATTGTTTTGTAAAATGTTGCAAATGACTAAAGGACACCAGAGAAATTCCTTCCCTATTCACTATTGATCTTCATTACAGGTTAACTTCCTCATACTTTTCTCACACAAAGTTTTCATGACTATCATATTGCCTAAGATGGAATGTTAAATATATTTTTAGAACGGAAAGGAAATGAAAACAAACTGCATGGAAAAGAAAACAAATTGTAACTAATTAAATTGGTGTAATTCCTAAACCAGCCTTGTATAGAAAATGCTATAATCCTACCAAATTTCTTTGTTTATGTTCTATATAGGGAAGACCTTAACCTTTGACTTTGGAGCGCTGACTCTATTTCTTTGGAGTCCGTGTTTACCAGATGGCTGTTCCCAGCTTTGGGCTTCAATAAACTCTATACTTAATTATATTTTCTGAATGCTGTTATTTAAGCCTGACAACACCATTTTTTTGGTTGTCATTTTTCTCACGTGCACCACAAGGTTTTTAGAGTACTTCCAATATTTGTACTTGTGTGGGATGCCACGTGAGGAGGGCGATTGTAACATTTACCTGATACAAGAAGATGAAAGGTAAAGTGACTTTAAAGTGACTTAACTGAAAGAATATGGGAAGTAGGAAAAGACACTTACCCTGTAAAATGCCTTGTGGTTCTGAAAGATGAGGCGCATGTCCCCCACGAACTCCTTCACTTGCGGGTACATCTTCTCAGTCAGCATTTTCTTGACTTTGTCTAACCACATGGGCCTCTGTGGGCCCTGAGACCCCTCTCTACTCTGTTGAGAAAAGGGCCAAATAAGGCTGTCAGCCTGGTTTCAAGTCTGCCTTCTGCAGACTCCCCTCACTAGGGACCGAAGGTTGGTACCCCCTGTTCTTATGGTGAAATCCTGACTCCCGATGTGATGGTATTAGGAGGTGGGGGTTTGAGGAGGTAATTAGGTCCTGAGGGAGGAGCCCTCATGAATAGGATTAGGCCCCTTACAAAAGAGAATCCAGAGAGCTCTCTCCCTTTCAGCCACGTGGGAACACAGCGAGCAGGCAGCCACCTGTGATAGGGACAAGCACCCTCTCCAGGACCTGCCCATGCTGACACCCTGGTGTCTTAGATGTCCAGCCCCCAGAACTGCGAGAAATAAATTTCTGCTCTTTAAGCCACCCAGTCTATGGTAATTTGTTGTAGTAGCCCAACCTAAAACCCATCAACAAGGCAAATATAATGGCCAGTTGGACCATGGGATTCAGATCACAGATTTCACAAATGCCAGTTTCAAGGTTTTTTGTCTGTTTGTGTGTTTTGCTGTTACTTACATAATATGGTTTTGAGGCAAAAAAGAGGCTTTTTGAATCACAATAGACTTTCAAGAGGAGAAACTCACATTTCTGCAAAAGATGGAAGAGACTTTTAAGTTAAATGCAGCTTGGGGAGAAAGAGCTCATACACATGCTCAGAGAGAACATGGGACTCCCAAACCTGGGGACTCTTTGAAACAAACATGGAATAAGGATTTTCTTTGGATTGGGATTTTCTCTGGAATACGAATTTTACTGTTAGGTCATGGATCAAAGCACACCATGGGCCAGCAGTTTGCCTTCGGGCTGCATTCCTCAAGCCCTCTGTGAGATCGCACCTCTCTCAGGGGATCAGAAATGAGGAGGCTTCAGGTTCATATTTCGACTCACCAATTGTACCTCGGGCAGCATCTGCATCATCAGAACCTCAGATTCCCGACGACATGGTTGGCTTTCTGGGCACCTTTCCTGGATAACCTTTATCTCGCAGAAGATGCAGCTCCATGGGTCCCTGAGAGGTTGGGCGTAAAGTGAGCATGGAGAGGTTCTATGAATCAGCCACCATTCCTATGATTACTAAAGTCCACCCCTTCGAAATGACTGGTGCTTCCACCTTGTATCCAGCTTCTCTCCTGGAGGCCTCTGTACTAGAGCACTATTTTGCTCAATAGCCAAAGGCAAGTCCTCCCCTCAGTAGTGGTGGCAGGAATGACAGTCTGTTGAGTAATGTGCCCCAGTAAGTGATGGACTCTCATTCACCTCAAAACTTGGGGGCCCCATCTGCACTACCAGGAGCTTAACAATGAGCCCTGATTGCCAGAATCAAGTTCTGGAAATTAATACCTTAAATACTGACATCTTGGGCCTCAATGAGTCAATGAGACCACAGTAAAAATCAGGAGACCAGCTCTTGTCCCTCAACATTGCTGAGTAAGAACAGAGCACAAGCTATAGGCATCCTCTCCTCTGGCACTGCCATGTCTATACCAAGATTCTGTGCTGCGAAAACTTGAAAAGTACATCTACTGACAGGGTGTCAGGTATTCTTCCATTTGCCCCAAAATTCATTTCCAACATTCTCTACCAGGTTCTCTGTGCTGGGAGGCTCTCGATAATCGGGCGAACACAATGGCCATCCTACTGATGTCAGCGTCTCCTTGGCCACTCAGTGCTAGCTCAAGGAGCCCTTGCAAAGTGCTCATGGTACAGACATGGGAGCTATACATGGGCTCAACTAAAAAGCTGATTTATGTTCTGCCTCTGCAGATTGCCCAGCTGGCCAAAAGCAGAGGTTTACCCTGATCCCGTGAGATAACACCCTGGGAGCAGGTGGATCACATTAGCCTCCTCCATTATGGAAGGGCAATGCTCTGTTCTCAGGGGGACAGACACATTCCCGGTAGAGATCATCCTCCTGGCCACAGCAATTCTGCCCACAACACCACCCACAGACCCTTCCAATCTCCACGGTATCCTGCACATCATCACCTCTACCCAAACACACGTTTTACAGCAAAGGAAGTGCAGCAAGCACTCCCACACCCAGAATTCACATTCACATTCTTATCACGTGCCCTGTGAACCAGAGTCAGTTGGCTTGATAGACTGCTGGGTTGGTCTTCTGAGGGCTCACTTTATCACAAGCTTTATCAACTTTGTGATGTTCCCACAGCAGGGGCATATGCTTTAAACCAGCACCCAGTGTATGATGACCTCCCCCCATCAGAGTGCAGGGGCTGAGAACCACGTTGGGGAGGTGGGGGTGACACCTCTTACTATTATACCTTGAAGGAAGGGCCGGGGGCTGGGTGTGTGTCTTACCTCTCAGCTTCCACCAGTGGGATGTGGCAGTTCTCATGAAAGGATCTTGGACAGGTGTCACAGCAGAACAACTTTCCCCCTCTTTTGCACACCCCACATATATTCGAGTTTTCTGGCTAGAAGAGGAGATAATGTAGACATCACTGGGATCAGTGAGACTCTGGGACTCTGGAACATGTGGCCTTTGCATCTATCAAGGTGACACTTAAAAATTTCTCTCCTCAACATATTAAAGAACAACGTTGAGTGGGGATTTCAGAAGAAGGCATTCTGGTCTGCAGCAAAGTTCAGGAGATAGTGGCTGTGTGTTAGACCAGAAAAGTTTTCTTTACGAAAATAGAGACTTTGACAAAGAATGGCTAGCAACAACAAAAAGGGTGAATTAAAGGTAATCTGAGAAATTTATTATTTGACTGGCAAAACCTGGCCCAGGAATATAGTGTCTTTTCTAGTTGTCTACATTGCATTATGTAAATTAATTCACCAAAGAGTGATTTACTGAGAATTTAATATGACGGAATAAATTCTGAGCTATCACTGAATCCTGTATTCCTGCCATTAGCTCCCCACGAGTTGAAGAAAGAGCCTGGGGAGGAGTTTCTGGATTGTGGGTTCTGTGCCTGGAGGGCTCTGGAACTGTGGCAGTGTTTCTGGGGTGGAAGTATCATGGGTGAGATGACCAGGTGGGTGCCAGGGAACACAGAGCTCTTCAGTTCTGGGAGCCTAGGGGGAAGATCCCCCTGCCTTAGCTAACCTGCCTTAGCTAACCTGCCTTAGCTAACCTGCCTTAGCTAACCTGGCATGTAATGTGTGGAGGTGCCATATCTAACGGCCAAGGAGTGTGGTAACATCAACCATCCAGGGCTGAAGATGGAGGCTCTATTCTCATTTTGTAGGCCTATAAAAGAGCTGGTAACCTGGTTCTATATAAGAAAGATGGAGGGGCCTGGAAAATTGACTGATACTGGTTTTCTTACCAGTCTCTACATGTATGACGTTTGGCCAGATTTAATTTCATATAGTGAAATTAAAATTCAGCAGTATTTGCATGTAAGTATTGTGGAGTTCCTCACAGGTGTAAAGAACAATAGAATTTGCAGGCCCAAGTACGAATTGGTCAAGGAAGGACCCCACAGGTGGGCAAGCGAAGTCACATCCCCCCTCCTTTTTAGTGGTAATCTGTAGCTATAACATGTGGATCTTTACACACTACACTTTCTATGTATTAGGGCCATTTGTGTTGCTGGGGAAATGTCCAGGAGGACAGGCATTGGCTCCCGCACAGAAAGAGAGCTGTCTGAGGGGAGCTGTGTGGCGGGGAAACATTTTGTTTACTGGGTAGCAGCTCTGCACCTAGATGAACTATTCTGTCTACACCGTGGGCTGGTAGGAGGCACTTGGATCCTCCTGTGACAATCCAAGTACCAAGTGATGCACGAACATGGGGACTGGCCCACCCGGGGATGGGTGGCTGGGACTCTGGTGGGTGGTGAGGCAGCAGGGAGGTGACAGGGAGCACCATAAGCTCCCATTCCTTCCAGAAACGCTCCGCACTGAGTCAGGGGCCTGGGATGGGGCCCAGTCAGCTGTGGACTACCAAGCCCTCCAAGTCTTTCTGATGGACCCCATAGATTGAATAGTACCAATCTACAGTGACTGACAACTTGGACTGTGCTTAAAAATCGCCAAGGAAGCTTTGAAAATACCAATTCTCAGATGCCAACTCAGACCAATAAGGTAAGAATCTTTGGGGTGGGATTCTCAGGTGAACACAATGTACGGTCAAGAAATCCTTTCTAAAGGGATTTCTCCTGAGCGAGGCCTGGGAAGTCATAACTAGAGATGATATCAGCCTAGAAGTTTGTCACAAGAAAGATTATGAGAAGAGGTAAGGACATCCTTGCTGGAAGAGTTGCCTTTTCCTCTTCGCAGAGAGCTTGGCTGTAGGCTGTGAGAAGTAGCCCTCGATGCAGACCCCAGAGATGAGAGCTGTTTGACTACTGAAGGGTTCCAGCCCATAGATCCTCCTCATGCAGAGGAACAAAAGCAGTGTGAATGGATCCAGATCTTGCTAGGCAGGTGCATTTACTAGAAAACAGGAGGGTATGGCAACCCCTTTTCTATCTTCTCTCAGTTGGTGTCCTGTATTAGGCAAATGGTGCCACCTTCTTATAGCAAGAGGTGCCCCCTGCAGTTGTGCAAAAAGCTGACTCTGCCTAAAATGTCCATCTTATGGCAATGAAAGGGATCAAAGTATGATTTTGTCTAGAGAGGGGAATCACCTTTGATTTTTGGCAAGCAGAGAAAGGAAGGGGTCCATGGGATCAGAAGGTTTGCATATTATCAAGCACTAGCCAAGCAGCTGGAGTAAAAATGACTCATGGTTTCCTAAGTGGTGATGGTTTCAGTCCTAACCAGCTCAGCACCCTGATGGCTCCCTCGAGACTGGCCACAGGGGCTTCATAAAGGATCCATGTGCCCTTTGCGCCTTTCTTTGTAGAACAAATGACAGGGCCCACACATTGAATTCACCAGCGTGGCCTGGCCTATTTCTTCTGCCTGATCCTTAAGATTGTCTTGAGGTCTGCCTGAGCCTTAGAGTGGAACTTTGAGATTATCCTTCCCATCCCCACAACCTCCTTGAAAACATTGTTATCCTCTCACATTTGCTCCTGTCCCTGGTCAGCAGGCAAGCCCTGCCCATGACCACCTCACAGCCCACCTCTAGAGACCCTAGTGGTCTAGAACTTGGCAACTCATACTCACTTTCCAGGGGAAATGAGGAAATGGGAAGGTTTCCATGGAAACAAATGGAAAGGATGCTTTCCACTGAGACACTCACCCAGACCCATCCTCCTGGCTTAGGTGATGCACCTGCTATGCTTTGCTCATCACACACAGCGACATGCTCCAACTGAGAGTGAGCATGCTTCAGGGAAAAGAAGAAATGACACAGATCATGTGCCTGGGGAAAGGCCTAGACTATTCTGGGGTCATAGTTGGGAATTGATACTTACATAAGGGTCACCTAAGGTATCGTTGTGAGACTTCAGTATCCTCTGCAGAAATGAGAGAAAGATTGAATGACAATACTGAATGTGATTTTTCATTAACCGCACCTTTGAGTAGACTTATTTATTTTTAAGAGATTCATGCCACATCCCCCTTTTTGTTTCATATCTGCTTTTGTGGGCCAATACATCTAACTAGAGAATTAAAAAGCACTAAATTATGTGTCAGTGACAGCATGGCCCAAAGCAAGTTCTGTTCCTTGGTTCTCAGACTTAAGGTGGGCTTTTGTGAATCCAGGCAGACAGACTGAGCTAGAGAAACTCCATTGGTCCTCTACTTCGAGGGGCCCTCAGTCATTTTCCTGTAAAGTAGAAAGCATCATCCCACCCAGAGAAGCTGCAAAGGGAATGAGTCTGAGAACTTATCTCTTTGCAGAGTCATTGCACTAGACAACAGATGCAGTAAGGATCTGGTGGCAGCCAATCCCAGGTTTCTGCAGCTGATGCCATCCTGTGCTCTCAGGTGCATGGAGTCAGACTGGCACAGAACTCAGCTTTGTAGCAGTAGCCTTCACATCACCCCAACTGGGCTGGGGAGGGTGCGGCCTAAGTGGAGGCTTCTCTGAGCCATACCCTGTGACTGGAAACCAAGCTCCTCTCCCCCCCAGTACAGTGGGATCTGAGTGGAGGAGTTGACTGGGACACTACAGGCTCCAACCTGGGAAACTTTGGGTGACAGCTTCAGTGGCACCTGGGCAGGCAGGGAGAACTCCACTGTCCCTGGAACACTGGAACCGACCCCCATCACTTGACTTGGCATCAGTAGTCCCTAAGCCAGTGGAACGGCCTGCTGCCTGCTCAGCCCTGCCTCTGCCCTCCAGGTCAGAAAAACTCACTGACCCATGGCCATGCTTCTGGCTCTGAGGCCCTACACAGAAGCTCTGCTTCTGACTCCTCCCCAGTTTCAGCTCTGAGGCTCTCAAGCTAGAACCTGAGACTCTGCCCATGTGCCTCCAGAACTCCTGTCAGGTCCAGGACACTGCCCCTGAGATACCAGGACTGCACCTGGACCCCAAGACCCCACCCCTGAGTCTCGACCACCGCTGCAGGGCTGATGGAACTGCCCTAAGTTCCAATGTCCTGCTAGAGATCCCCCAGCCACAAGCCACCATTATACCAGGATCTGGTTTGAACAAATGTCCACAGACCAGGAGCCCATGACCACTACCTAGATAGCCTCACCCAGCTGCCACTGTCACCTCTGTGGGGAGACCCCAGGCAGAGCAATCCTCACAACGTAAGCCTCAGTGGAGAGGGTCTCACCCAGCTCCTAACTGAAACTTCCTACAACTATCTGGGGAAAAACCCAACACCCACTACAAAGACCAGCCCAGGCTTGAATAGTGATAGTCACAGGTGAACAGGACAAATTGGAACAGCTTAATTATAGGCTTTTAATACACATGCCCCTCCCCTGCTGTGTCAACATTCCAGAGTAGGAAAAAAGTACCAACTGGGGACCTCCCTTGTTCTAATTAAGCAGAAGAGCTCACAGCAAAAAACAGATATCCTGCAAACCTATTAGCCTGAGTCAGGAAAAGAGGTTTCAGATAAGCAGAAACCATCAAAAGAACCCTGGCAACATAAAAAAAAAAAGAGTTCAACACCCTCAAGGGATCACAATGGAGCTACAGTAGTAAAATCCAACCACAAAGAAATTGCTGAAATGACAGAAATAAAATTAAGAATATGGATGGAAAATAAGATGAACAGAATTGGAAAATTGAAAACCAACAAAAAGAAGCCAAAAAATATTTTAAAAAACCAATGAAGAAGTTGCTAAAGAGCTAGACAACCTAAGAAAGGATATAATAGAACATGAGGAAATGAAAGGGTCATTTAGGGAATTTCAAAACACAGAAGAAAGATTCAGCAACACACTAAACCAAGGAAAATAAAGAATCTCAGAGCTTGAAAAAAAGGTTGTTAAGCTAATTCAGTCATTTAAAGGGCAAAGAAGAGAATAAAAAAAGTCTGGAGCAATGACTCAGAGAGATATGGGACTATGTGAAGGGAACTAACATACAAATTATAGGTCTCCCTGAGGGAGGAGAAGAAAGAGCTAAACTCATGGAAAATCTATTCAAGGGAATTATTGAGGAAAAAACTTCCCTGGTATTGTTACCAGAGATCCAGACATCCAGATACAAGATGGTCTTCAAACACCAGGAGGATTCATAGCAAGTGGGACATCTCTGACACATAGTAATCTATCTGGCCAAAGTTGAAATGAAGGAGAAAATTCTACAAGCAGCAAGACAAAACCAGCAAATAACTGACAAAGGAAAACTCATCAGGCTAACTACAAACTTCTCAGCAGAAACCTTACAAGCAAGAAGGTACTGGGGCCTTATCTCCAATCTTCTTAAACAGAACAATTGCCAGCCTAAAGTTTTGTATTCTGCAAAACTAAGTTTCACAGTTGATAGAGAAATTAAGTCTTTTCCAGACAAGCAAAGACTGAGGGCATTTGTCATGACCAGACCTGCCCTGGAGGAAATACTCAGAATTACACTCTACATAAGTCAGCCCAATAGATACCTACCAGTGTAAAATCACCAAAAAAAGCTAAAGCTCACAATTCTTTTTTTTTGAGACAGAGTTTTGCTCTGTCACCCCAGATAGAGTGGAGTGGCTTCATTATAGCTCATTGTAACCTCAAACTCCTAGGCTTAAGCAATCCTCCTGCCTCAGCCTCCCTCATAGCTGGGACTACAAGCATGTCCCATTGCACCTAACTAATTTTTTTTTCTGTTTGTAGAAGAGACAGGTCTCACTCTTGCTCAGGCTGGTCTCAAACTCCTGAGCTCAAATGATCTTCCCACTTTGGCCTCCCAGAGCACTAGGATTACAGGCATGAGCCACTGTACCTAGCAACAATTCTTATAAAACAATAGCACAAGAGGGAAAACAAAGCAATAAAGTACTATCCAACATGATGAACAGAACAACATCACACATGTCAATTCTATCTCTCAAGGTGAACAGTTTAAATGCACCACTCAAAAGACAAAGGCTGGCTGAAGGGATGAAAAAACACATCCCAATTATCTGCTGTCTCCAGGAAACACATTGAAACCACAAGGATGCACACAGGCTCAATGTGAAAGGATGGAAAAAATATTTCACATAAAAGGAAACCCAAAGACAGCTGGTGTAGCCATTCTCATATCAGATAAAATTGATGTTAAATCAACAATGGTAAAGAAAGACAAAGGTGGTCATTACATGATGGTAAAGAAGGGAATTCAACAAGAAGACATAACAATCCTGAATATATACGCACCTAACACAGGAGCTCCCAGATACATAAAAGAAATTCTACTAGAGCTAAGCAGGGAAATAAATAGTAGTGTCGTGATTGTCAGGGACTTCAACACTCCACTGTCATAGCTGGACAAATCACCAAAGCAGAAAACAAAAAAGGGAAAAATTTACTTAAATGGGACCCTATAACAAATGGGCCTAACAGACATTTACAGAACATTTTACCCAAAAACTACCGAATACATATTCTTCTCATCAGCACATGGAACATTCTCCAAGACTGATCATATTTTAGGCCACAAAACACGTCTTGACAAGTTTTAAAAAATCAAAATCATAACATGTATCTTCTCAGATCATAGTGGAATAAAACTAGAATCAATTCCAAGAGAAACACTCAAATATACAAAAAGTCATGGAAATTTAACAAACCTGCTGCTGAGTGATTTTTGGGTCAAGAATGAAATTAAGATGGAAATATTCTCAGAAAAAGACGCTAGGAACAACAACAAAAAAAGAAATTAAGATGAAATCAAAAGATTACTGAAACTGGATGACAAAGGGGACAGAAGCTATCAAAATCTATGGGATTGAGCAAAAGCATTCCTAAGGGGAAAATCCATAGCCTTAAATGCCCACATCAAAAAGACAGAAAGATTACAAATTAATAACATAATATCACACTTAAAGGAATTAGGGAAAAAAGAGCAACCAAACTCAAAGCCAGCAAAACGAAAAAAATAACAAAGGTGAGAGCAGAACTAAATGAAATGGAAAACAAAACAAAACAAAAAATGCAAAGAGTCAACAAAATAAAAATTTGGTTCTTTGAAAAGATAAAAATAATTGATAGACCTCTTGCTAGAATAACCAGGAATAGAAGAGAAAGGATCCAAATAAGCTCAGTCAGAAATGAAAAGGAGATATTACAACTGATACTACAGAAGTAGAAAACCTCACCTATGAATATTATGAAAATCTCTACACACACAATCTAGAAAATGTAGAGGAAATGGACAAATTCCTGGAAACACACCACCTCCCAAGACTAAATCAAGAATAAATAGAACTCTTAAACAAACAAATAATGAAGAAGAAAAAAAAAATCCCTGAACCAGACGGATTCACAGCCGAATTCCATCAGAACTACAAAGAAGAACTGGTACCCGTACTACAGAAATTATTCCATAACATCGAGAAGGAGGGAATCCTCCCAAACTCATCCTATGAAGCCAGTAGCACCTTGATACCAAAGCCAGGAAAGGACACAACAAAAAGAGAAAACTACAGACCAATATCCTTTATGAACATAGATGTAAAAATCCTGAATAAAATACTAGCAAACCAAATTCAAGAGCACATAGAAACAACAATCCACCATGACCAATTGGTCTTCATGCTAGGGATGCAAGGATGGTTCAACATATGTAAATCAATAACTGTGATTCAACATATGAAGAAAAGCAAAAACAGAGACTATATGATGATCTCAATAGATGCAGAAAAAGCATTCATTAAAATTCAGCAGCCATTCATGATAAAAACTCTCAACAAACTAGGCATAGAAGGAACATAACTCATAATTATAAAAGCCATATATGACAAGCCCACAGCCAATATCATAGTGAATGAGGAAAAGTTGAAAGCACTTTTCCTAATAACTGGAACAAGACAAGCGTGCCGACTATCACCACATCTATCCAACATGGTGCTGGAAGTCCTAGCCACAGCAATCAGGCAAGAGAAAGAAATAAGGGGTATCCAAATTGGGAAAGAGGAGGTATGACTATTGCTTTTTGCTGATGATATGACCTTCTCTAGAAAACCCTAAAGACTCCACCAAGAGACTTCTGGAATTGATAACTAAATTCAGCAAATTCTCAGGTTACAAAATCAATGGACACAAATTAGTAGCTTTTCTATATACCAATAACAGTAAAGCTGAGAGTCAAATCAAAGCCTCAATACCATTCACAATAGCTACAAAGCAAATAAAATACATAGGAATATACTTAACCAAGGAGATGAAAGACATCTACAAGGAGAACTACAAAACACCAAGGAAAGAAATTGCAGATGACATAAACAAATGGAAAAACATACCATACTCATTAATCAGTAGAATCAACGTTGTTAAAATGTCCAAATTACCCAAAGTAATTTATAGATTCAATGCAATCCCCATCAAAATACCAATGTCATATTTCACAGATCTATAAAAATGATTCTACATCTTGTTTAGAACCAGAAAAGAGTCCAAATAGCCAAAGAAATCTTAACCAAAAAGAACAAATCTAGAGGCATCACAACACCAGATTTCAAACTATACTACAAGGCTATAGTAACCAAAACTGTATGGTATTTGTTGCAAAAATAGACATATAGACCAATGGAACAAAATAGAGAACCCAGATATAAAACCACCTACCTACAGCCAACTGATCTTTGACAAAGCAGACAACATACACTGGGGAAAAGAAGCCCTATTCAATAAATAGTGCTGAGGAAATTGAATAGCCACACACAGAAGAATGGAACAGGACTCCGATCTCTCACCACTCTCAGAAATTAATTCAAGATGGATAAAAGACTTAAACATAAGGCATGAATCCATAAGAATTCTAGAAGACAATGTACAGAAAACTCTTCTAGATATCGGCCTAGGCAAAGAATTTATGACTAAAACCTCAATGGCAATTATAGCAACAACAAAAATAAATAAATTGATTAAATTAAAATCTTCTGTACAGGTAAGGAAATAATCAACAAAGCAAATAGGCGACCTACAGAACATGAGAAAATATCTACAAACTATACATCTGATAAAGGGCTAATATCTAGAATCTACAAAGAACTCAAACAAATCAGCAAGGAAAAACCAACGACCCCATTAAAAAGTAGGCAAAAGACACGAACAGAAGCTTATCAAAAGAAGGTAGATGAATGTCCAACAAACATATGAAAAATGTCACTAATCATTAGGGAAATGCAAATTAAAACCACAGTGAGATATTACCTTACTCCTGTTAGAATGGCTTTTATTAAGTCCAAAAAGAACAGATGCTGGTATGGATGCAGAGAGAAAGGAATGCTTACACACTGTTGGTGGACTGCAAATTAGTACAACCTCTATGGAAAACAGTGTTTCTCAAAGAACTAAAAGTAGACTTACCATTCAACCCAGCAATCCCACTACTGGGTATCTACCCAAAGGAATAGAAGTCATGTTATCAAAAAGACAATGAATCAAGACTTATCAAGAAGTCATATTACCAAAAAGACAACGAATGTTTATTGCGGCACAATTCACAATAGCAAAGATCTAGAATCAATTTAAGTGCCCATCAGTTCATGAATGGATTAAAAAAATGTGATATATTTATATCATGGAGTACTATTCAGCCGTAAAAAAGGATGAATTAATGGCTTTTGCAGCAATTTGAAAGGAATTGGAGACCATTATCCTAAGTATCTCAAGAATGGAAAAACAAACACCACATATACTCTCTAATAAATTGGAACTAACAGATAGGCACATTATGTACACAGAGGGATGTAAAAATCATTGGAAATCAAGCAGGGGGAATGTGGGAGGAGGAGAGGGCAAAAAACCAACGAAACGAGAAAAAGAAAAACAATTGGGGGAAGAGCAAAATTAAAACCCCGAAAAAAACCCTACAATAGCACTCCATGTAACAAAAGCATTTTTACCCCTTAATATTTTGAAACAAAACAAAATAATATGACAGATGAGACATCGGCAGAAAGTCACATGATAATCACCTTTTTTCTTGTTCTTGGTGTGTTTGGTAGATATCCATTCTGAAGGAGAAAAGAGACCAATGATATGATGGATTCTTGTTTTAATTTTGTGAACTTGATATTTCTGACTGCCTTCCAGATATTTCAACCTGGATGTCCCACTGTCAACTCAAATTCAAGGTGTCTTCATGGAAATTATTTTCCGTGATTACCCAGTGATTAAAGGAATTTTTAGACTCCTTCCTCTGGCCTCATGATGTCTACAATCAGTGCAGTGAAAGTATCATGCCTCATTACCTACAACTTATTGACACTTCGTGGAGCAAACTTTTATGTCATGCTTTTTTATGTATGCAGAATGCCATGTTCTACATTTTTCCTCATCCGAACTGTTCTACTTTTAAGTCCCAGCTCAGCGCAAAGTGTTTCAAGAAACTGTCCACAATGTCAAAGCCAGAAACAACCTTCCTTCCTGGTGCATCTCTTCCTGTGGATGTCTCTCTTTAGAGCATTCATACTGCACAGTCCTATGATTATTAAAGCACAGCCCACTTCCTGGGTAGGGGCTCACACCTTGTACTCCCTCATGGCTTTAGATGTAGCTCATAAATATTTACAAAGACTTTTTCTTTATTGTTAGAATGACACAAGGAAGGGCTATCTGAGATGTGCAACTGAAAGATCACTGTATTGGAGTCAAAAGACACAGGTTCATCTGTAGCAGAGTGCCTGTCTCTGCTTTGTCCACATCAGGGGATTGACATGAGGAGCACAGCAGTTAGTTTACAATGCAATTTATTTGTATTCCCTTTCAAGAATAAATTTGAGGTGGTTTATGAAAAGAAACATTGCCAAAATATTCTGCCACAAAAGGAAAAAATAGTGATCTAGCACTTCTTGTATTATCCTGGATAGAGCTAGAGCCCATTCCACTAAGTGAAATATCACAAGAATAGAAAAACAAGCACCGCATGTACTCACCATCATATTGCTATTAACTGATCAACACCTGTGTACACATATAGTAGTAATATTCATCAGGTGTCAGGCAGGTGGGAGGAGGGAAGAGGGGATGGGTATATTCACTCCTAATGGGTGTGGTACACACTGTCTAGGGGATGGACATGCTTGAAGCTCTGACTCGGGGGTGGGGGCGGCAAAGGCAATATATATAATCTAAACATTTGTACCCCCATAGTATGCCGAAATAAAAAAGAAAAAGAAAAAAAACCAAGAGCAAGCTTCCAAGGGTCCTCTCTGGGTGGGGTCACACAGCACTCACTGCTTGAAGTTCAGAGAAATACACAGAGAAATCTAGGAACTATTTATCCTGATCTATTATTTTCATATATATAATTCTACCATGTTACTTTTAAATTCAGCCCCAAAGTTTAAGACTCCTCCCCCTCCAATTTAAGTTACTTTCACGTGACCAAATTGCAGTTTTTTTCATGGCAGAGTCAAGGCCACAATTTATCGTCCTACCTTCAAAAGGAGAAGAGTTACTGCGCTTAAAGGAGTAAGCTGTAGTACAAGCCAACCATGGTCACACCTGGCGGAACGTTATTAATAGTAACAGCATGTGCATTGGGCCCTGGGCAAGGGGAGTCATGATGGTTTTCCGGACACTGAGAAATTCTGCTAAAGCCTGGTGTGACAGCCAAATCTTTGATTTAAGCCATTTGTCATCAGAATACCTCTATCAGGTGTTTCAGGGTAAATCCACCGCAGCGTATACTTAGCTTCCAGTTCTTGGATGGTGCGCGGCCTCCTTCAATTTCAAATTCCCTGGGAGTCAACCACCTTCCAGTCTCACTCTTTATACACTTCTCTGAGGTTCCTGTAAGATCAAGACAAGCTGAGCTCCCGACCGTGAAAACACCTAAACTTGGCCTCCCCCACACTGCATCTGGAGCCACCCACTTTGGGTTCAGCATCAGTAGCAGGAGAGTCTGAATTGTCCTCTCTGACATCAGGGGCCCCACACTCAGGCTGAAAGGCCAGGAAAGAAGGAAACTCCCTGCCATGTGTGTGTATTTCTCTGACCTTCAAGCAGTGAGTCCTGTGTAACTTCACCCAGAGAGGACTCTTGCAAGCTTGCTCTTGGTTTCCTCTGGACTTCACCCCACGTGCCTTTTCCCTTTGCTGACTTTGCTTTGCATCCTTTCAGTCCTACAAACCTGAGCTGTGAGTGTGACTTTGTACCAAGTCCTAGCAGAACTCCTAGGAAATCAGACCTGGGGCTGGTCTTGGGGCCCCCAAAGCAGATATCTACTGCTCAACGGTGTGCTATTTGCGTGGGTATTTTCCAGTTGAAAATCCTAGAAGACCAGGGAACTCACCTTGTTCCAATTTCTCCTTATACAGAGTACCCTTTATCTCACCACATGTCACAGGAAGTTCAGGAGGTTGAAAATTCATATTTTTATCTCTGGGAATTCTTGGAACTGCAAGGAAGTGATTTTTTCATTCCATCTTCCTCCACAACTGGGCAGCATCTCTCCCACCCTCTTCAGATCCTTCTTTTATAATTTAAAATGATTGCAGGGATTTTCCCCAGGAATTAGTTATACTTCAAGATCTTTCTTTATGGCAGATTAGATACCTGTAGATAATGTCATCCTCTGCTCCACCCTGCAAAATCCCACCCGACAGCCTGGGGCGGCAGGATCTGAGCTCTCAAGCTCGGTGGCCACATCCATTGCTCCCACAATGACTTTCCCCCTGGTGATCTGAAGGGACATTTCAAGTCCTATTATTGCTTTGAAGTTATGGAGATGGAGAAAAACTCCTCAAATTTTAGTCTTGTCTCCCTATTTGTGGCATCGCCTTGGGGAACAAAGAGCAGGATGGCAGCAGGGCAGCGAATGTGGCCCCAAACAGGCTGGTGTCTGTCTCCCCCTTTGCCATCTGCTTTGCTTCACTCTCCTTCACCTGAACTTTCTCTGTGGCTGAAAGGGAAGCTCAGGGCGGGGGTTCTAGAAAAAACTGCTCACTGAAGCAGGGGAGATGAGCAGAGGTTTATTAATGTGTACAAATCTACAGTTAGATAGAAGAAATAAGACCCGGCATTTGTTAGATCAGTAGGGGGCCTACAGTTAACATGGATCAATTGTGCATTTCAAAATACCTAGAGGAGACTAATGTGAATGTTCTTAGTGTAAAGAAAAGGTAAGTATTTAAAGTGATGGATGTCCCAATTGCCCTGATTCAATTATACAAAAGTATTGAATGATCACATGTACCCCCAAAATATGTACATCTATTATGAATCAATAAAAAAGAAACTTCACCTTGCTCAGGGAGCCCCACACACCCATGAGGGGGGTGCTAGGGACATGGTCCTGCTGAAGCAGGTACTGAAGATCTTAAAATGAACTTGTAGCCAAGGTTGAGGTTCTGGTGCCAGCTCCCCATAAGCCAGTTAAGAAAACTGATTCATCACTCAGAGCATAGAGTATAAAATATATATCTAGATGGTTAATTATTAAAAGTATATCGATCACTTCTTTTTTACCTCTTCTTCTTCTTTTCAAAGGTGCAGGGTGGGCTATTTTTCTCCCTGCGAAAGCTGAAAAACAATATAAATGTCTTTTGTTTACAACATTGCATCAAATAGTAGTATTTAACAAAAACACTGTTGAAATGTAACTTTTCAGGAGCCTGTCCAGTACTTAAAAAAATCAAATGCCTAGATCAGAAGTCAAGAACTTTTCTGTAGAGGGCCACACAGTAAATATTGAAAGTTTTATGGTCCACAATTTATGTTATAATTACTCAACTCTGCAGCTGTGTCATGAAATCATCCATAGACAACATGTAAAAGAAAGGATGTGGTTGTGTTCCAATAAATGTTTATTTACAAACAGTCAGTGGGCTGGTTTTGCCCTGTAGACCATAGTTTGCTGACTCCTGGCCTAGACTTCATTACAAAGATGATACTTAACTGAGATTTTTTCCATATTTTTCTATTAATATCTCTAAATCATCCCAAATAAATTTGAAACAATGTTTTATGTGCTTCCCAAGCAATAGGGTGAGAACAAGAACGAAGTTGAACGTGTCTTGAATGCTTATTGTGTGCCAGGAACTATCCTTAGAACTTTGCCTCTGTTAACTTACTTCATCCATAGAAACAAATCTGTCAAATAGACACAAATCCTCACACACATGAGGAAATTGATGCTCAGAGATAAAAAAATACAAATTGGTTACATAAACAGGGCCCTCAAAAATACAAATTAAATAAAGGCATTGAAGATTTCCCTTGGGAAAGAGACAGAGATAAAAAGCAGTATGCAAGGTCTCAAGACAGACGTCGTGGTGGACTTTGTTGGTCAGATGGCTGTCACAAAACTAAACTTGAAAAAAGATTTCTGTACTGAAAATGGTGAGGCAAATGACCACAATCGCTCTCATACTGGCTTTCCATAAGCCAATTAAGAAAATTAATTTTTCACTCAGAAAACAGAATATAAAATAAAAATCTAGATGGTTCACTATTAAAAGTGTTTTGTTCACTTCTTTTTACCTCTTTTTCTGCCTCTTCTGCTTCTTGCTCTCCCCAAATGTCGAAGGATGGCAGTTTTTCTCTCTGGGAAAGTAGAAAAATAACACCAACATCTTGTTTGTGACATTGCATCACAAATGGTAGCGTTTTATAAAAACACCATTCAATTGTAACTTTTTGGGGAATTTGTAGAAATTAAGGCCCCAGGTCTAAGAGATATAGAGTTAAAGGTTGCACAAAGGATTGACTTTAAAAATGTCTCGGAAGAATGTAGTATGTGATATATTAATATATGTTGGTTGGGTGTGTCCAAAAAAGAGTGAGTCATTCCAGATACATGTTTAGATCTATGTTCTTCAAACGCATTTGAATGTTGAGGTCAGGGACACCAAGCGAATGGTCTTTCTTCCTGAAGGTCTGTGCCCATCACAGTGTGCCCATGGCTTCTATCCTGCCTAGTGCAGGACCCAGGAGAAAACCTTTTACCGATACACCAAATGAATGCTCTTTCCTTCTAACAGATTATGACCACAGTAAGCTGGAAAGGAATCTGTCCTTCAGTCAAGGACAACGAAGCCTTGGGGTTGATGATGTTATTTTAGTTTCTGGGCCATTGCCATACCAATTCCTCAGAGATTTTTTAACCTCATCAAGATAAAAATGGCACTGTAAGACATGTATTGATAATTTACACCCCAAAAGGAATCACATCCCAAGATCAAGCATTTTCTGCCTCACAAGGTGTTTCCCTCAGAAAGTTTCTTAAGACATTATGGAGATATGCAGAGAAAAGAGATTAGTAAAGTTGCATAAAGGAATTATAAGTTTGGTTATTGAACTAAAGATTTAAAAGAAACAAGTCAAGTAGGGGAAATGAAGTCCTCCAGGGGGTAAATGAAGCTTTCTTAACACTCCTTGCTTGTCTCTTGAAAAAAATTGCTTTAGATTGATCTGTTTCAAAGAATGTGATTGGGCCAAGTGTGGTAGTTGGTGTGGTTGCCAGGACTAAAAGCTCATCCGCACAGGTGTGGCTCTGTGTGGGACTCTCCCTCCTGCCACTCATGGTGCTGAAGGGGTAGGTGCACACAGGAAAACTGGCCAGCTCTAACTCTCTCCTTTCCTCCCTCCTCCTCCCCACTGTCCCAGGAAGAAACACCTGTGCTCTGCCTGCTTTCTCCTTCCCCATAAGGTGGTCAAACTGGAGCCCTCACCCTGGTTGTAACCTGGGTCTGTTCAGTGATAGCCATTATTGGCCGACACACATTCTCTTGCTCCCAGACTCTCTCTGCTTAAATCTCCCTTCCAGGACTAGAGGGTTAGCTAGACTCTCCTTTCAGTCAAAACCTATTGAGGGCAAATAACTTTAGGGCAAAGAAACAAGGTCATTTTACTCCCTCCCAGTTCTCGACATGGAGAAGTTTGGGCTGAAGACCAGATCATATGTAATAAAGTGCTGCTGAACTTTGCTTTACAATGGTTCTTTGTCA